GCGATAATGAGAGGGAGAGACCAATTAGAAGGCTATGTTAACCAGTCTGGAAACAGACAAGACGCTAAATTAACAAGGTAACAATGGGAATGGTGAGAAAGAAACAGACTAGACATACATTTAAGAGGTAAAATTGGTAGAATTTGGTGACTTAATGCATATGGGAGTCAGAAGAAAGAATGGATTTTTGCATTGAATATCTGTGTGGATAATAGTAACATTAACAGAAAACTGGATATAATGGAGGAAAAGCAGATTAGGGTGGATGATGAGCTTCATTTTAAATACGTTATGTTTGGAGGTGTTTATGGAACATATTATAGCTATGTCCAGCCTGCAGTTGGCTATACCAGTCTAAAATTCAAGGGAAAGGTCAAAACTTGACGTGAAGTAGTCATTCTCCCAAGAACAAGAATATTAAATATATTTCTATATGGAAGGTTGGAGCTGATTTTAGTGGTTACTCATCACTTATTGCAGCATCATTTCTGTCTTTTCCAGCACTCAGTTACAACATTTAACAGATCCCAGTATAAGAGGTGGGGACCCTATACTATGCAGGACCCCTAATGTAATATAATATAAAAATATATATTTTAAAAGAATGCTAAAGTATAATGTTTATTTACCTACCAGACATTTACTGAGCACCTGCCATGTATAGGTATTGTGTTAGTAGCTCCAATTAGAGAAATGAATAAGATAGTTTCTGACTTCAAGGGTTTTACAATCTTGTCAAATACATAGGGATATATAGAAATTAAATTACAGTATACCTGAAACTAACACAACATTGTAAATCAACTATACTCCAGTAAAATGTTTAAAAAAAAATTAAAAAGAATTGTGATATGATCCAGCTATTTCACTTCTGGGTATTTTTCCAAAGAAAACAAAAACACTAATACAAAAAGATATATGCACCCCAATGTTCATTGCAGCATTATTTACAATACCAAAGATATGGAAGCAACTGAAATGTCCATCCACAGATGATTGGATAAAGATGTGTCATACATATACAATGGAGCATTACTCAGCCTTAAAAAACTCTGAAACGGCAACAAAATGAATAGATCTAGAGGGTAGTATGCTAAGTGAAATAGAGAAAGACAAACACCAAATGATCTCACGTTTAGAATCTAGAAAACAAAGCAAAATGAAAAAAACCTCATAGATACAGAGAAAAAAATGGGTGATTGCCAGAGGGGAGGGCATGGGGACTGGGAGAAATAGGTGAAGGGGAATAAGAGGTAAAAACCTACAGTTATAAAATAAATAAGCCACGAGGTTGTAATACACAGCATAAGGAATATGATCAATAATACTCTAATAACTTTGTATGGGGACAGATTGTTCCTAGACATCTTGGTGATCATTTCATAATATATGCAAATGTCAAATCACTATGTAGTACACCTGAAACTAACAAATATTGTATCAATTATATTTCAATAATAAAAAATTGGTTCTTTTAAACAGCCAAAATGTTTGAAAATATCAATAGAATAAAATTTACCTTTTGAAATATTAAAAAAATAAATTACAAAGTGAGATGGAAGTATAAAGATATACAGAGGAAGAAGCAATTAATTCTCTTTGTATATAGGATGTCAGGAAAGTTTCCCAGAACACATAACATCAGAGATGTCTTTTTAAAGGTGAAGAGGACTCTGGTTGATGAGGGACAACAGTGGGAGAAAGAAATATTTTGGGCAGAGAAAATAGTATCATTTCTTGTGTCACAGTAACCAGCCTGACGCATTTGAGAATGATAATTTGGCACTACCTGGGGATGAAATGGGTTAGTTGGCAGTGTGATTAGAGAGGTAGTGAAGGCTATTCACAAAAAATTTCTAGATACCTTTCTGCCCACAATAGTTCACTTATCTAAAGGTTTTAATATAAAGTAGTATTTTTAAATTATGGAAGGAGAAATGGTGAATTAGGATAAGTGGAAGAATTAGACATGACAAGTAAAGATTGGAGGCACAGGCGCAACCAAGATCAGATTTAACCTCAGCCTCCAACTGAATTAATTTCATAAAGGGTCACTCATCAAATTCCAACACAAGTCAGGCAAATGTTTGCCTAGATTGACTAGCAATTGCATGAGTCCCTGCCTCCAAATAAACATTCATTTTCTGTCCCTAAATCCCAATATTGATTATATTGTCTCATGTCTTGACTCTTTTCCACTGGGGCTATCCTAACCTTGTCAAACCGTGATGCGGACACTGCATTTACTTTCTGCTATCTGCTCTTTCTTCACTTGACAGATTACCAAAGGATGTATTATGCTCCTTAAGTAACTGTCTAGGTGTCTGTCACAGAATTCAGTGACAGCTTTTTAGGTATGATTTTGTGAAAGGACTGATGTGTTGAAATCTTTTACTGTTTGTGTCACTTCTATCAATGGCTGATATGTCATCATGTTCATTAAACCTTTAGTACTATACTAACCTCGCAGAATGATTTGCCATGCTTTGCTTTGTCTTTTTCCACAATATAGCAATCATAAGCATAGCTAAAAGTCTAAAAGTCCCTAAATACTACTTACTAGGACTTCTAATGATGCTTACAGACTTACTTCTAAGTAGGAGTATAACCTGCAGTTTACATACTGACAACACAAATTTCTTGATGCAAGAGGACTGCTAGGAGATGATTATAATGCTTATAAAAATGTCATATTTCTTAGGAGTTTTGTGTTTATATTTGGTGATGAATTTTCTTCTGATTCTCTTTAAGAACAAGATAGATTTTTTATTTACATGAACTATCCAGCCAAACCAGCATGAAGGCCAAGGGATGTGTTATATTTGGCCATATGACATTTCTCAGAAATTGTAATTTGAAAATAGAATTTGATGTGTGAATGTATATAACTAGCATTATTTGTTATTAAAGTACAGAACTATCAATTCATAATAATATGTGACCTGTAAATCTATTTTTAAAAGAATAAATGTAGGCCTTTATGTCATCTTTCAATGGGCCTAAATCTAGTTGCTCTTCTCTCTCTAAATCGGCAAATGGTCCTTTTAGGATTGGCTTCCTGAAAACCCTCTAAGTGGTAAATCAAGTTGGTATAGAAAGATGTGTGTGTCCCCCATTTGCACTCTATTTGAAAATTTTATTTATTTATTTATTTTTGGCCGCAACACACAGCATGCGGGATCTCAGTTTCCCGACCAGGGATTGAACCCGTGCCCCCTGCAGTGGAAGTGCAGAGTCTTAACAATTGGACTGCCGAAGAAGTCCCAGGCACTCTATCTGTTTCCTTCAAATGAAATGCTCTCCTTTATTCAGATGCTACTGTGCTTCATGGAATTCCTCAAGCCATATGCATTACTTGAACTCTGATATTCATTGATTATTTGTAGGTGTTAGTCTTCTTTCCCCAGTGATACTGTAAACTTTTCTATGACTCTCATATACTTAAATTGAAGAAATCACTAGCCATTTAAACTGGTACATTTCAACAAATGTTCGATGTTCCAGAAGGACCATTCATTTGTGAATTCATTCAATAAATTTTATTGAACTCCTACAATGTGCCACACACTGTTTTAGGCAGCAGAGATGTATCAGTGACCAAGACAACAATAAAAAATTAGAACATCACTGAATTTTAATTTTAGTTAGCGGAATCTAGACAATACATAAACAAGTTAAAAATATAGCATGTCAGGTTCTCATAAAGACTATTAAGAAAATAAAACAGGGAAGGGACATAGGGTATGCTTCTAGTGTATAATAAGACCAGTTATTTTGAAGTGCACAATATTGTATTGTTAACTATGGGCACTATGTTGGGTTGGATGGCAGATCTCTAGAATTTATTCATCCAGCACAAATGAAACTTTATACCCATTGAATAACAACTCTTATTTGTCCTGTCTGGGCTTGGTTATCATTTCTTAGGGTAACTTTACTTAACTACACTGACTGGATTATGTCCTACTAGTATGCATATCCTTCACCTCCAATGTATCTTCACACTCAATTGTTATTTAATCATCCATAATTATTTGTTTACTGTCTAACACATGTACTAGAATGTAAGTTTCACGAGGGCAGGGATCTGTTTTGTTGATGCCTGTTCCTTTGGCACCAATCATTTTGCCTGAAGTTACCAAAGCAATACATACATACACACACAAAGTTTAACCGACTAGCTTAATGATGAAGGGGTCATGTTTTATATCCTTATAGTGCCTATACATAACTCTTTTTGACTGATCCTTGCTTTATTGTAATAAAGCAGTTAGCCAAGTTTTCATGGAAGGAAATGAGGATTTAATGAACGTATTAGGACACAGGAAACTCCCACAAACATTTAGAAGAAAAGATCATCAACATGAATATCAATAAAATCACCAGACATAACAAGTTTGGCCAAAAATATAACAAATACTACTGAGCACTTATTATTCATCAGGCATTGCTCTAAATGTTTGAGATACATCAGTGACCAAAACAGAGTAAAATCCCTCCTGCCACATAATGGAGTTTGCATTTTGGGGCAGGAGAAGATAGACAAGACCGTAAAAAATCAGTAAATCATATATACTGAGAAGACGGTCAGTGCTATGGGAAAAAATGGAGCAGAGTAAAGGAAACTGGGAATTCAAGTCCAAGAAGGGTTAACGGGTAGGTCTCATTGAGCAGGTGATACTTGAGACATGTTGAAAAAAATTTTACCCTGAGAATGAGGAAAATAAGCAGTGTAAAGTCAGTAAAATAGTCTAGAAAAGATTAAATCACATATCTGAATGCAGAGGGAAATAAGGCCTGAGTGAGTCAGGGACATTAGTAAGAGGGGAGAGAAGTTTTCTGTCTTCGATTTATAATTCAGGATTTAGCTTTTCAACAAAAATTAAGTTAGAGTTGCAACAAAATCAAAGAAAAAGTGTATATCATTTGCTAACAGAAAACATTAAAACATATTTTCAGTTAAAAATTCAAGCTATTTAGAGATGAAATGAGAATCTTACCATTTTTACTGATGTCGAGTTCTTTAAGGTTAACTAAACTAGCAATAGTGGTTGGCAGATTTGAAAGGTCATTGTCAGGAATACTTAGTTTTCTTAGAGCTTGACAGTTGAACAATTGCTGTAAAAAGAAAATAATAATTCATTAGATCTCAATTTGGTTAAATCCATTCATATTATAAACTTAGTAACAAAATTCAATTCACCATCTTTACAAATGTGATAGTAAAAGGGCCCAACCCCAAAAGGCTCACCTTCTTCCACACCCATCTTCTGGATTCTCTTCAGAGTTTTCACATTCCATCACCATGTTAGTACCTCCCTACTCTCTGCTATCCACATTTGCTCCCCAAGGTATTCTACTTCTCCCCTTCTGTTTAACATTAGTGTTCAATTTGCCACTGAACCAATTGATTTATTTTTTTCTTTGAAATAACTTCTGGAGTAACCCCTTCCTTTTTATTCTCACAGCTACCAGGATTACCTCAATTCTCTTTCTCCCCAACCATAAATTGCTTCCATTTAATCATGTTGAACAGTTGTTTATCTGAAATGCAAGAACTGCAATACAGTTGAATACATGAGCTCACATTTCTTTTGTGTGCCCCCACACTGCTTCATAAATATCTACCAAATGAAACATTTAATCTCTGATACTTGGTGAAAAATAACCACTAGTGGTTGGTTCACTTCTGTCACCAATCCTAAAGTACTAGATGGGGAAGAGTCAAGTGTTAATGTAATGGTTCTCAAATCCAGCATGGTTTTAATCATTGGTGGGTGGAGGTGCTTGGTTAAAATGTGGGTCCTTGGGCTTTACCCAAAGAAGTACTGATATGGTGGGTCTGGGATGAAGATCAAAATCTTCATTTTTAACAAACACTCTAGTGATCTGGTTATTTTTATGTAGGTGTTTCCAGTATCACATTTCTGGAAACAATATGGTTAGATTTTTTAGCTATGTCCATCTCATCTTGACTACTCAAGATTTGAACAGCTGGGTCAGAATTTTTGATTCATTTCTGGAAGAATTATCTTAATGAGATCTTTTCTGTTTGACATTTCTAATTCTGTTTTGCTAAATTTCCACAGATTAAGTCTCTGGTATCCATGACTATGCAATTGGCCCACAGTACATTTAACTGCTGCTTGTTCTTAAATGTAATTCATAATTTATAGGCAAAACAATGTAGTATGTGGTTGTTATTTCTTAACTCATTACCTTTTAAAAAAATAGATTGTGCTGGTTATTACTTAAGATAAAATCTGTAGTTTCTTGCTTTTGGCTGACTTGCTTTTGGCTCCTTACAAAGATTATTTGCAATACTTCATGCAGCACTAGGATTTCAATATTCTCCATAGAAATGTTGCTACTTCTTTTTATAAAGTCTAAAAAAGAGAACTTTGATGGACAGTTTCCACTAAATACTAATTTTCTCTTTAAAAATAGAAAAAAAAGGGCTTCCCTGGTGGCGCAGTGCTTGAGAGTCCGCCTGCCGATGCAGGAGACGCGGGGTCGTGCCCCGTTTCGGGAAGATCCCACATGCCGCGGAGCGGCTGGGCCCGTGAGCCATGGCCACTGAGCCTGCGCGTCCGGAGCCTGTGCTCCGCAAATGGGAGAGGCCACAACAGTGAGAGGCCCGCATAACGCAAGGAAAAAAAAAAAAAAAAAAAAAAAAAAAAAAAAAAAAAAAGAAAAAAAAATATGTCTACACTCATGGCCAAAGTTAATTTAAGTTTTTGTCCAGTCTCTATCATTCTGTTAGGACCACTGCACTACATGCAATGTGGTTAGTTATAGATGCATAGATTTAAAAAAATCAGTTGCCTCTTGGCTGATACTGGTAAGATGTATTAACTACTTTTTAGTCTGATTATTATAACCATTTTATGTAAAATTCAGACAAATTATTTTCAAAACTGTTTTTTGCTTTGTAAATTCAAGCCTCATCTCAACTAAATACTCAGTTTATCTCAAGAATTAAGAGAGGTCCCTATATTCTTCTTCAATTTTAAATGAAGCCACATCAGGAACAAAAGATTTGTGCACTCCTGAGCACCCTATTACATCAAAGAATCCAAGATCCTAAGATCTTGAGAGAGGCTAAGAGCATGGCATTTGGAATCAGATTCATGTAGATTTAATCCCCACTTATCTACTCACTTGCTGTGTAATCTTGGGAAAGTTACCTAATATCTCTGAATTCTATCAATTTCCTTATCTGTAAAATGGAGACATTAACATTGCCTAACTTGAAGGATTGTTGAGAGGATTAAATGAGTTACTATATGTCATCAGTTCTAAGTCTTGCACTTTCTCATGTATTAACATCTTTGCTGTTTGGGATTCATCTTCCAATCAACATTGTTATATCTGTAAAGCAGTGTTTCTTTTTCCTTAGTGGTACTACAATAATGGTAATGGTGTTTCTTAAAATCAATGGCCTTGGATTTGATGAAAGGAATTACTTGTAAAAGTGTAAAACTGTGTTTGGCATATAGTAAGAGCTTGATAACTGTTAGCAATTACTAATATTTTTATGTTAATACAGAAACAGAAATATACCTATATAATCCATTTCTTACTTTTCTAGATGATGAGGTCTCTGAAGGCAGGAGTCATGTCTGATTCATCTTGGTGTCAACCTGTTTCACCTTTGTATATATTAAAGTGACTAGCACAGTGTCTTTTACATAGTGTATGTTGCATAAATATCTTTGAAAGTATACTTAGATAAGTAAAGAGAAAATGAAGAGAGTGCTAAGCTCCAGCTGAGTGGTACGTCACTGGTTTGGAAGTTTCAGATAGATAAACAATCTCAGTGGAATCTAAATTTAATAAACAAGCAGTGAATTCTTGAATATGAGTCATGATATCTATAAAGTGGCAAAGAAATTAAGAAGGCATTTTAATGATTCAATATTCAAGTTTTTTTTTTTTTTTTTTTTTTGCGGTACACGGGCCTCTCACTGTTGTGGCATCTCCCGCTGAGGAGCACAGGCTCCGGACGTGCAGGCTCAGCAGCCATGGCTCACGGGCCCAGCCGCTCTGCGGCATGTGGGGTCCTCCTGGACCGGGGCGCGAACCCGTGTCCCCTGCATCGGCAGGTGGACTCCCAACCACTGCGCCACCAGGGAAGCCCAATATTCAAGTTTTGAATGAAAATGATGTAAAGAATGATCATGAAATAGCTGTAATTCTTCAATATAGTATAAAACAGCAACTCTAATAGCTAATTAAAGTAAGACTCTTAATGACTATGCCAAGGTAAATATCAGATATATGAAAATACACTGGTAGAGTATCTGCCCTAAGTTATGTTGATGATGGTGACAAGGTTGACTCATGAAAGTGTTTCTGGAAGAGGTAATAAAAAGTGGATCACCTAAGAGCCGGCACAAATTAGCCAGATGAAGGCTAAAGAGGGATGATGTTGTTTTTGAAGCATCTAAAGATACTCCAAATTCAAAGACTGTGTAACTCAAACTAGTTTCAAATATTTGCTTTACAGCATGAGGATATTTGGATCATGGAGTGAAATCTCTGCATCCACAACATCTACATGCATTTAAAATATATTTATTGAATACCTATTATATAGTATGGTCTATGTTCAGCACTGAGGGTAAGGATGTGAAAAGATACCCATCAATTTCTATTTTCAGCAGTATGGTGGACTAAATATTCAAAGAAAAACTTTTTAGTACAGCAAAATCATACACATACACACACACACACACACACACACACACACACACACTCCTTTAATGCATAGGTGAGCTATGGCTGTAAAAGTATAGCTATGGTTATACTGGAATTTCTAAAATTCCAGAATAACAAGAAAATGCTAATACACCGAGTTAAGTGGGTCTGTATTTAGCTTTTGCTCTGGTGGTATCTGTTGGTTTCTGGCGGTTGAAGACTGAGGTTTTTGTTTGTTTGTTTGTTTTGCAACTGGAGGGATAGAAGACTGCTTGGGATTTGAACAGAGGTTGGAGATTGGCTTAGAGACCACTCCATACATAGTTGGGTTCTCCTGAGGGTGATACCATCAGTGAGTGAAGTTAAAAAAACAAACTGGGTCCTGCAAAAAGAGTCAGTGGTGAATGCATGACTTTCTCAGTTTTGTCTCTGAGTGAAGCGAGAAGGAAGAAAGGAAAGAAGGAAGGAAGGAAAGAAGAAAGAAAGAAAGAAAGAAAGAAAGAAAGAAAGGAAGGAAGGAAGGAAGGAAGGAAGGAAGGATGAAAGAAAGAAAAGAAAGAAAGAAAAAGAGAAAGAGGGAGGGAAGGAGGGAGGAGGAAGAAAGGGAGGGAGAAAGGAAGGAGGGAGGGAAGGAAAGTAAGAAGGAAGGAAGAAAGGGAAAAAGAGAGAGGGAGGGAGGGAGGGAGAAAAAAGAAGATAGGGAGAAAAAGAGAGAGAGAACAAATAAAACAAAAACAAAATGTCTAATTGTGGGATTAAAAAGTCAGTGTAAGTCAAAACAGAAAGCAGTATGGTAGTGGCATAAAAATTGATATACAGCTCAATGGAGCAGAATTGAGAGCCCAGAAATAAACTCACTCATGTATGGTCAACAAATGTTTGACAAGAGAGCCAAAAATATGCAATGGGAAAAGGATAGTCTCTTCAATAAATGGTGTTGGTAAAACTGGATAACCATAAGCAGAAAATGAAATTGGACACTTATCTTATACCACTCACAAAAAAATAACTCAAAATGGATTAAAGACTTAAATGTAAGACCTGAAACTGTAGAATTCCTAGAAGAAAACATAGGAAAAAATCTCCTTGACATTGGTTTTGGCAAAGATTTTTGTGTATGATACCAAAAGCAAAGTCAACAAAAGCAAAAATAAACAAGTAGGACTACATCAAACTAAAAAGTTTGTGCAGAGCGAAAGAAACAATCAACAAAAATAAAAAGGTAACCTCTGGAATGGGAGAAAATACCTGCAAACCATTTATCTGAAAATACAAAATACACACGAAACTCATACAACTCAATAGTAAAAAAAAAATCTAATTAAAAAATGGGCAAAACATTTGAATAGACACTTTTCCAAAGAAGACATACAGATGGCCAATAGGTATATGAAAAGATGCTTGTCATCACCAGTCAT